CAGTGGCGTCCTTTTTTACAGATGGCAGTGAAATTCAAAGTTCGTTTTGTTCTACGTTGTTCTCACATAATCACAACATTGGACTTCTCTAGATGCTCGACTTTAAAGAGGCTTCCTTTCCAACATTGTTCCAATTTAAAGAAAACTGATAGCTCTATTGGGAATTTAAATTATCTGATCGACTTGGTTGCCATCGTCTTGAAGATTCGCCTGCAGAAATCAAAGGCCCCATGAATCTTCGGTGCTTGACTTTAGGGTGGCGTCGTCGATTGAAGAAACTACTGGATTCCATATGAAAGTCGAATTCATTACATAAGTTGCACTTTTCAATCCAGTACATCGAATCAAAATCATCTCCAAACAATGGGTTAAGATTGATGCTATTTGCGATTTTTTAAGTGAAGATAAACTAAAAGAATCGATGACTTACTAAAGATGCCCTAAACATTTTGCTAAGAGAGGCATTTTGCCGTAAATAAATTGTAATCTTTTGCCAACCCGAGACCTCCGACGATCTCACCTCCAATCAAATAAACCACATTGTCCCCCTCTGTCGAAGTTCGCCGTTACCTCGTCTCCACCATCGCAGCTCTCTTCCACCTCCGTTGCATTTTACCTCCCTCCGCCGGTTGAATATGTGTCCTGTCACGGCTCCTCAACCTCGCCGTTTGCTCTGATCGCAAATCCGAGTCGTCCATTTCATTTCGGCTAGGAAATCTCATTGCTGCAGTTCTCACCTCGGTCTTCACTGCACCTCTTTTCGGTCGCTGTCTTTTCCAATCCACCGTCGGATACCACAGCAGCACTGAAATCCGTCTTCTGGCTTCATCAGCAGCTGTATCACCTCCGGTGGCCATGGAAGACACCATCAAGAGCTACGCGAGCAAGCCGGCGGACTTGTCAGCGCAAATGCTTCCTCGAGATCAGAGACGGAAGCTCGAGGCCTTCAACTTCCGTCATCTGTAGGACACTTACCAGGTCGTCTCTTTCCCAATTAAACTCTAGTAGCGAATATCGGAATTCTTCTTCAATATGCCTCTTCACCTATGCTCTGGTTTTGCCCTTCTTTCATCGTAAATGTTGGATCATCGCTAAGACCATTGCCGCAAACGAAAAACATCATTTATCCTCATAAATTAGAAACTTCTTTCCCATCTGAAGAAGAAATCATGCTCAATTTTTCTTTTACTTAATTTATGTTTTGATGACAACTATATAAATATTGCATTTGATTTTGTTTAAGTCCATAAGATAGATTAATGCAAGTGAGGGTTCTGGTGCTAGGCAGGCGATCGCTGTGGTGATGCTTTTGTTAGTGTTCCCGATTTCACTAGAAGCGCTATCATATGTCTATATTTAAATGAAGAAACAAAAATAGAACAAAAAATCCCATTTTTCCTTTATTTGATGATCTTTTTCAAATTTTATTTCTTTTTTCTCCAATCCATTTATCTTGCTTACTACATATTCGCTCGATGGCATGGTGACCCATTTATGTGGAGACACCTGTCATTTAGTAAGCAACTCTTAGTGGAATTACTGAATATCATGCACATTCCTGTCTGATAATCATTTGATCTTTCAATAAATACATCAGAAATTTGTCTCCTCTTGAACATAAAATGTCCATTTTGTACGGTCGTCACTTGAACATACCTAATAAAATGCTAATAGAACCTTCATTTTGCACCAAAAAGATTAACACAATTTGAAGACCGTTAATGTCGTGTTGATAGGGAAATTATTACCAAATAAGTCCATAATTTATTGTATTTGTGCATTATTTTACTTATATTATTAATTGTGAGAGGTTTGACTTTGAGTCTCTTCCTCCTCTGCCTGACAGTCCCCTCCACGTCACCCTGATGCACGTTTCCCTTCCCATGCAACACCCCTCACTTCTTCCCTCTTTTTTTTTTTTAGCTCCGACCGTTAGCTCACCGCCCCACCTTTTCCCTTCGCGCCGGCTTGCTGTCGCGCCCGTCTTCGCCTCCGCTTCTGTGCCCGCGCTGCCAGCGCGCCTGCTATGCCGGTCTCCCTGCCGCACCACCTCCCTCCGCAGCGGCACCAGCCACTGCTCAGCTCGCCAGTCCGGCCGTCGTTCGCCAGTTGCTGCCCGCCGGTTCGGTCAGCGTGCCGTGCTGCGCGGGCCACGTGCCGCCTTCCACCTCCCCTCCTCGATCCTTCCTCCCCATTTTCTCGTTTCTGCTGTCGCTCAGCCGTCGCGCCGTCGCCATCCCCCAGCAACCAGGCGTAGAGGTTAAACTTCTCCTTCGCGCTAGTTCCGCGTGAGGCGTCCATCACACCTCTCTTCCTGCCCGCCGACGGCCATCCCGCGGGCACGCGATGGCATTGTGCCGCGTTGGCCGGACCCCCTGTTGCTCCATGTTCCGGGCCATTTAGCAAGACTTTTGAAAATTAGGATGACTTAAATCTTACATTTTTATTTTTAGTTTTTAGGGTGAAATTTAGTACCGGCTTAGGAATTTAATTAGGTGTGGCTAATTAGACTCATTTGTTAATTTGAATTTTTGATAATTGATTTAGTGATTGATGAGATAAATATGTTTTGGGTGATTGGATTAGTTGAATTCATGAATGTTCGGTGGCCGAGTGGGAGTGTGAATTAAATTGGTTGTTGTTAATTGGTAATTTATTGGGTGTCATGACTCATAGCAACACGTGGCTCCTTGCCATGTTCATGAAAAGTACGTTTGAGAGGGATGTGCTTTTCGACATTCTCTGTCAAATTCATATATTTCGTGGTTACATAGAATTAGCTAGAAAATCAAATCCAAAATTCTTCGACATGAGTTCCATCGTTATCTTCTAAATTTTGGCTCCTATTGTTGGGGAAATTTTATTGCTAATGAAGATAGAGAAATAGTAATAGATTCTTAATAATTTGATGCGTGATGACAATCACTATCTTTAAGGTATATTTGGCCCCACTATTATTGCTGCTAGGTTTAGAACAAATATACCTACAAGATATACACCAAAACCGCAGAGAAACGAATTCAGCAATTACTCAATTTCTCTCTTGAAATTTCATCTTGAATGTGTTGTTAAAGTTGTGTATATGAAAAGAGAAGAAGAGAGAGTTCCGAAGAAGTTGTAGTTATGAACAGTTGTGGTTATAATAAATAATGTGCGATGGTCTCTATTCATAGACAACCAATCAACACACATTTTGGGAATAGGTACCTTATTCCCAACCATCACCACTCTTCATGTTAAGAATAACTTCCGTTCATAACCATCGATAACCTCTTTTTAGAACGAAGAGTCACCTCTTTTCATAATCAAGAGTCGCATCTTTTCTTAACCAATAATCACATCTTTTATGATAACAAACTATTTCAACACCTACATGCTTGGTGCTGTTTTGGAACTTTAGAAGAATCAGGAACGTAAGGCTCACACAATAAATCAGATGACTAATGTTAAGTTATCAAAAGCAATAACTAAGGAAACCTTAAATTGAATACAAGCCTTTGAGAAGGCACTTCTTGATTATTGATGTCCCATTAGTTACCCGGTTATTGTGTAGTTAAGCAGGTGCCATTGAACATCACTCCAAGGAAACGAACATAAAAGAATGAGATTGCGTCCCAGTCTGATTGAATTTTATCATGAACGAAAGTTATTACTGGATTGTCATTTCACAATTTTCCCCCATTAAAATGGTTTTCTATCTTGAGAGGCAAGGCGAACTAATTGGATTGATCGTTGAGGTGGTTGTGGATGAAGATGAAACATAAGTCCGTGACTAAATATTAATTGAAATCGATGATCAAGTTATAGCAGTACGCGAATTGTTAGATGTCAACTCTGGTGGTGTTCGGCTCATTCAAATTCATGTTATGGGAGTACGCATTCACCAAGGTCACCTTCAATCAACTTTCTACCGCTTTGGAAAGTGTTGCTGCTTCCTTGAAAGTATTAGAGTAAAGTCATCAAGAATTGATGGCTCAGTTAAATTGCAAAAAAAGTCACCGCAGAAACAAGGAGCATCAACGAAATTGACTATTGGACAAAGAGGATCAAAGAAGCACTCTGCCGTCATTGTACGGAATGATGTTGATAAAAGTGAACAAGTGGAGAAATTGATCGGAAATAGTGCTTTATGTTCAAGGTCTAGAGTACTGATTACTACTAGAAATATAGATGTTTTGCGAATCAATGGACCAAAGTATGAAATTTTTATCATGAAATGGGGGTGATGAGTAGTGATCATGCGCTTCAGCTCTTTAATAGACACGCAATTAATAGAAACTCTCCTATCGATGACCTCTATGATCTTTCAAAGATTATTGCATCTGCAAATGGAAGACTCCCTTTGGCTATTTAAGTAATTGGTTTGATACTATATGATAAAGCACATGAGCTATGGAAAGAACACTACAAAAAAATTAGGTTTTAGCGATGAATTTTGTCACGAAAAATTTGGCAAAATTCGTCGCTAAACGAATTTGCGACGAAATTAACAACGGAAAAAAATTTGTCGCTGATACGCCGTCGCAAAATTTTGCGACGAAAAATTTCAATTTTCGTCGCTAATTTGCGACGAAAAAAAACTCGTCGCTAATTATTCGTGGCAAAATTCGTCGCTAATTTGCCACGAACTTTATTTGTCACAAAATTCGTCGCTAATTATTTGTGGCAAAATTCACCTCTAATTTACCACGAATTTTTTTTTTTGTCAGTAATTTGTGACGAACTTATTCGTGGCAAAATTCATCGCTAATTTGCCACCAAAAATTTTTACTTTTGCCATTAACATTATTCATGAACGAATTTAGCAACGATTTTTTATTAATTCTTTAGCAACGAACTCTGCGACAAATATCATTTAGAGACAAAATTAGCGACGAAATTTTATTTTTGCAACGAACTTTTGTAATTTGTGATCGTACGATAAAATCATTTATTTTATTTTTCAATTTTAAACCTAATTAAAAGCAAAATTAATTTTTGGAATTTATATTTAACATTGATTAAGCACTTAATAATATCAAAATATTATAATAATATGAAAATGAAATACATTCATCTACAATTTCCACAAGAATGACATAAATAAAGAACCAAACTGAAAGGTGCATTCTTCCTCTTCAAGACAAACCTTCTCAATTGAGGAACTATCCAACCAAAAGGTGTTCTCAGCCTTGTTATCAGAAAAAAGTTCACAGAATATGTTCTTGGATCCACCAAGTCTAGCAGCCAAACCTTCTAACCTTCTCCATGTCAACTTAAGTAGCTTCATGTCAATGGTTGCAGGTGAAGTCCCCAGATTTGACATACCAAGACAGTTCCTCTCGTCCAAATCATACACTGGTCTTCTGCTTCTAGTAACCTCTTGAAGCAAGTGATCGCCATTAATCTCCACAGACGGAGTATTTGTTAAACGAACTTGTCCTGATATATGATTACCGTGGGGCACCTGGATTCGCGCTAACAAAAGTTTACTGCTCAGAAATAGATACAGTCAACCAAAATGATAATAACAAGTTGTCACTAATAACACTCAAAAACAAAGGCCACAGAAAACTTGAATCTTTCTTATGAACAATGGCAACATATTACATAAGGGAGGTAAAAAAGGGAGTCTCAGACAAACCTTCTCCCAACAACCCAAGGAAAAAGCAAAATATGTACAGTTGCTCGAAATAAGTTGCCCTTACCAGTAAAATGAGCATATCTCCTTCTGAAGAAAGAGGAGCTTGATCTCAACCAATAATCTTCTGTTATTCCCCTGAAATTCTCGAAAATCTGTCTCCCATGACAAGTCGCAACACTCTTTGAGTGAAACTGGAAATCAGAAAGGTCAGTGGTTTGATAAAAAAGATGTAGTACATTTGTAACTTGTACAAGAGAGAACCTAAAGCACCTGCACACCATAATGAGGCCAAGTAGAATGCATAATGGCCATAAGGACCTTTTTGCTTCGTACACGATAATTGCGGTGGATGCGTTGTAATTTATCTGTCACACCTGTCTAGAGTACGCACCAAGAATCGTGTAAAGCTTTGACTTTAGATTGTCACCTATAAATTTTTGCCCTGTCGCTTTTCATTGAATAGGTCTTTGCCAATCCTTTTAAAAAAGGATCTTTGCAGTGCATTTTCATGAATAGTTTTTGGAAGAGAATATACCAAAGAATGAACAACACTACACCTAAAGCATAAAGCACATGTCCTTAGCTTTTGGATGATAAAACCTAAATTTTTCTCCTCCGAGCCTTGGACACCCAAAATAAAAATCCAACTAAAACAAGGATCTGAATTTGAAAACAATCATTCGTTTTGCAAGAAACGACAGCTTCTCAACATCCAGTTCAATGAAAGTCTATATGCATCGCAAGCTAATTGATCTTAATTAATTAGGAAAACATGGACACTAGATGAAAATATGCTTGAGCAGATGGCCTTGTCTTGCTTTGTGCAGAATCCACCTCTAAGTGACTGGTGCAACCAATTCTCTAATCTAGATGCGACAGATTAAGACCTTGACTTTCCTGAATAGTCTGTTCATTGGTTTTAGAATGTGTGTCAAAACGGCGAAGCATCAAGCCATCTGTCCATTTCTTCTTGTGAAGATTAAGTAGCATTTTTTCCTCCAGTTCATTCTTTCTGTAATTGATGGCAATTGAGTAATAGTGTCTGTTCAGCCCATGGATCAATGCCTAAAAATATGAAGTCAACCCCATGAGATAAGATCAAAACTCAATATTCACAGAGAGCATTATCTGGTCAGCACTCACTTGGATGGACGGTTTGTTGAGATGTCCAAGGTTGGAGGTTGTCTGCCTGGGTTCTTGGCCAAGCATCATGGTTTGTGGGTTGATCAAACGGAAGGCATCAATCACCACCTTCCCTTTGACACTCTAAATGGGATCCACAACTACTGCAACCGCACGCTGATTTAAAGCCTCAAAAGTCTGATTTTATAAGAACACATCACAAGTATAAAGCAGCCTTGTTAACAATTGGATCCAACTGGAAACCCATAATCAATTATAGTCTAGCAAAACAAAGACATAAGAAACCAATCATACACGAATGCAATAGGCTATGGTCATCAACCAATGGTGAAAATATCTAAAATATCTTGAGTTACAACTCTCCGATTGAATCCCCAAAGCCACAACCTTCAACCAAAACCATCCACACACCTCTCCCAATAGAGAAGCTCTTGAGATAATTTAGAGAATAATGCCAGGTATCTAAAGATTAGTAGTCCACTAAATTGGTTCACTGACAGATGCAGCAGAGTTCTACTTAATGTTGAATATGGCCTCCTTGTTCGCAAGCTCAGCTATAGTCTATAACATAACTTAGTAAATCAATTTAGTAGATCATCTTTACAAATTTAATGTTACTCTAATTTGAATAACCTCTCGGCTCTACAGCTCGCCTCCAAAAGTGCAGTTTGATATTCTCAGTCCCCCCAAACCCACCAGCAAGTCGAGAGAAAACTTGTAACAATTAAGATGGCTAAGTCACCGTCCGTAGTAACCATCAAACTAAGGGACATATTGTCACCACTGGACATAATTCACACACCCAAAGGAAGTGACTGGCGATGCTGAGCAAAAATAAGTCTGCTAGTATCCCAGATTGCAAAAGACACACACACACACACACACACACACACAAGAGCAGTGCCGGTGCCACCTAAATGAGCGCATAACAGCAGAACAAATCCGAACCAGAACCCAGAATAGCACAAACACGAACTATCCTACAACTACATTTTTCCCAACAAAGTCAGCAACTACTCAACTAAAAAAAACCCCCAAAAACCATGAGCCGCCTCAACGATTACGCCCCAATTACCCTAATACGTCACGACCAAAAACCCACCCAGAAAACAGCGAGCGAATTCAGACCACCACAAACCCAACAGCACACGAGCGAGAAAACGAATAACATCGAACAGCAATTCCATGAAACAAGCATCACAAGCCCTCGCGACATAAAAGCTACGATTTTTCCTCACAAAAAATTCAAGCAAACTACAGACCTCAAGAGAGAGAGAGGGAGATCTGATCTGATCGACAGAAACGAAAGAGGGAGAGAGAGGGACAACAGCGAGCGAGAGAGAGAGAGAAATTGGGGGTGAGGGCGGGGCATTGGGGCGCTCTTTTTTTAATTAAATTAGCGACGAACTAAAGTTCGTGGCTAATTTTTGCGACATTAATTCAGAAAATAAAAAAAAAATTTGCGACGAATTATTTTTCGTCGCTAATTAGCAACGAATTTTTTTTCGTCGCTAATTAGCCACGAAAAATAATTCGTCGCAAATTTTTTTTATTTTCTAAATTGTTAATGTGAAATGTCATCGCTAAATCCATGACTAATTAGCCACGGATTTAGCCACATAAATTAAGTATCGCGGCATTTCCCTACTATATTTATTTTCGTGACTAAATCCGTGGCTAATTCCCTACTATATTTATTTCCGTGGCTAAATCCACCACAGAAATTAAGTATCGCGGCATTTTCCTACTACATTTTTTTCCGTGGCTAATTAGCCGCGGATTTAGCCACAGAAATTAAGTATCGCCGCATTTCTCTACTATATTTATATCCGTGGCTAAATCAGCCACGAAAATAAAAAATAGTCGGGAAAGTGAAGCGAGAGTTTATTTTCGTGGCTAAATTAGCCACGAATTTTTTTTCGCCACAAATTCCGTCGCAAAATTAGCTACGAATTTTTTTTCGTCGCTAATTCCGTCGCAAATTAGCCACGGAAAATTTTTCGTCGCAAATTAGCAACGAATTTTTTTTCGTCGCAAATTCCGTTGCAATTAGCGACGAATTTAGTTTTCGTCGCAAATTAGGGACGAATAATTTTTCATCGCTAATTTTCCGTGGCTAAATTCTTGTTTTTTTGTAGTGTGAGAGACTTCCGTTGGCTCTTGAAGTAGTTGGTTCTTTCCTATACCACAAAGCACAAAAACTGTGGAAAGAGGCATTGCACAAATTAAGAAAAGCACCTCACGAGGATGTTTTTGGAAAGTTGAAGATCAGTTATGATACTCTATGTTTCAAGCGAAAACAAATTTTCCTTGATATTGCGTGCTATTTCGTCGGTGAGGATACGGTGAATGCAATTTACATATGGGAAGATTGTGAGTTTTTCCCAGATACTGGAGTTGATATACTCATTAGCATGTCTTTGGAAAAAAATTGTGGAGACCAATAAGTTTTGGATGCACAATCAATTTAGAGATCTTGGAAGGAAAATTGTACATCAAGAAAATCCAATGAATTCTGGAGAGCGGAGTCGGATATGGATTAGCGACGAGGTCCTTGATGCAATAAGAACAAAGGAGGTAAAACACTTACAGGGAGAAATTATAGTTTCTGATAAATATTCTTCTAAGCTGACTAAGGAAGCTCGATCTTCTTCTTTTTTTGTATAGTGCTCTTCCTCTATGAAATACAATAGTGATATCACTCGTTTGCCGTTCTCATTTGCAGATGAACAAGAACGTTCAAGCAATATACCTTGATACATATCCACGAAGTGCCCATGATTCTGTTATTCAAAGTGAAGAGATTGGACGGTTTGAACGTCAAAGGTTCCTTAAATTAACCAAAGGAACCTTTGTTTTTTTTTTTTTTTTGGTAAGGTAAGAGTGGGAACCTTTGTTGGTGACTTAGCGAATTGTTTTAAGAAATTAAAATGGATTTCTTGGTTTTATCCTCCGCAAACCTATAAATGGACCAACATGTACTTGGAGAATGTAGTCGTTCTTGAATTTAAAGGCGTTGACCTCTTAAATGATTCGAGATTTGGGAACTTGATGAAGATATGTAATATTCTAATTTCTATTCTATTTTCTTTGAAAGTAATATTCAACTGTTGATCCATTAAATGTTGCATTTATTTTGACAGATGACAAGAAAATTGAAAGTCCTTACCATTTTAAGTTGTAACAGCATAGCTAGAACAAATTTCTCTGGATGCCCGAATTTAGAGAGGCTTAATTTCGGACATTGTTGCAAATTGAGCGAAATTGACTGCTCTATTTGGAAGTTGAAGTATCTGCCTTACCTAAAGATTAGTTTTTGGAACTATCTAAAAGATTTGCCAGATGAAATTGGAGATCTAGTGAATCTGAAGTACTTCCATTACGTGAGGTGCACCTTGTTAATTACTTATATAAAGTAGATACATCAAATTCATGGGAGTTACCTAGTGTATTGGAATGCTTCAGAATCTAGAAGTGCTCCGAGTCCAAAGTCCCTATTTAAAAGGGCAACTTCCTTCTGAAATTGGAAGTTTACCCTTTCTAAGATTCCTGGATCTATCAAATACTCTTGTTAGTGAAGTTCCGAAGACCATTCACATGCTTCCTCACCTGCAAAGAATGGAGTTGATGAAATGTCATAAGATTCAAGAGTTGCCGATGCTCCCATTAAGTTTAACCCATCTACAAGTGTCATCTGCATCGTTGCAGGTAGTCCCGAATCTCTCGAACTTGATTGACTTGGTTGAGTTGGATCTGAGCGATAGTGGAAGAAGAGGTGATAAATTTTGCACTGGTGACTTATGGTGGATCGGGAGGTTATCCAAACTAACAAAATTGAGCTTGGAACTTCACAATGTCCCGACTCCTACTGAACTGGCTTCCCTTCCTCTGATAAACCAACTTGATTTGTTTGGATTGGACCTACAAACCTTTCCGCAATTTCCTTGTTCTCTGCAAAAGCTAGGCCTTGATAGTTTCAATTCAACTTGGTCAGTCTCTCCAAACCTGATTAATTTATCATGTTTAAAGCTCCGTAGGTCTCCATTGCAAGAAATTCTACTTGATGGGCTTCAATTTCCACATCTAAGGGAGTTGCGAGTGAAAAGGTGTCTATTCCTCGAGAGATTCAAGCTATCCAGCACGAGGAAGCTGAAAGATATCCATGTGAAATATTGTCCAAAGCTAGTTGAGATCCAATTTTCTTGGGAGTTCGAATCACTGGAGTCATTGTCTATTGAAGGGTGCGAGTCCTTGGGAAGGCTAGTTTAGGGGGGGAAGCAGGGGACAATAATAACGAGTCTACTAATGAGCTGATTAGTTGTGAAGGGAGACTAACCCTTCCATCGGGAGCCTTAAATAAATTGCGACATTTCTCGCTGGAGGGTTGGCATAAGATTCTTGATATTCAAGTAGTTGACACGTCAGAATCATGGAAACACTTCACACTGGAGCATTGTCCTTACGTGCGGAGTATTGGTGGCTTGTCAAACTTAAAGAACCTCTAGTCTTTAACCATTATTGGCAACAAGAGGCTACGGGTTGTCGAGGGCCTTGACGAGTTAGAATTTGTGGATCTTTTACAAGTTTTTGGAAACCATTCATTGAAAAGGTTGATTGATGTATTAAGCACCAAATTGCCAAACACTTGCTTCGTACGTTACTCCTCTTCCAGAAAATTATGTGGGGTAACGAAAAATTTCATTCACTCCCTCCAGTCTCTCAAGCATTATAAGGTGAGTCTAAATCATTCTCTCTTTTTCATTTTGTTTTTCTTGATGTAACCATTCACAAACACGAGTTCAACTTTTAGGCAGCATTGTAATAATTGTGGGAAGTTGAAAAACAATCAAACAAACATGAAATAAATATGATCTCACTTATTTTAAAACCCAGTCAATACAGGTTTGTTATATTTCTCGCTCGTGATTTCTCATTTTTTTTTCTCTTTTTCCGTCTTCCTTTCCATTTTTGTGTACGAGAAAGTTTTAATGTCTACGGGACAAGGTCAGTTTTTATCACAAATGATTGGAAAAAACTTCAATGTTGGGAAGAAATATGTAGAACAGACCAGAGTCTCTCATGAAAATGTTCTTTTCATTTTAGGGGGAGTAAATTGTTTAGTTTAGCGTACATTTTACGTAATAAACTCCACTTTATTGTCCATTTCTTACTCAATACTCTTCATTTTGGAGATGAGTATGATGATTCGCATTTACTACAGTGAAGATTAAAGATTAAAAGAATCAGATACTCATTAAACCACTCAAAACAATTTGGCTAATGGAGGTGTTTCAAGAACACAAACTTACATGATCCCCCTACCCACTAATCAAGTGACTTATGTCCTTGATGGATTTGAGTGTTGCTTGAATTTACATATGGTAGGGGTCGGCCAAGCAGTATGTGTATCCCAGAAGCATCTTAAATGCTAATTCAAGATTTTTCATTCTTAAGGAAAAAAAAAATGAAAATCTAATTGTTGGATGATGCATTTCTGTGACATCCTGAAAATTTGTCCATTTGGAATTTATAAAATGTTTGGTTTTATGAATGTGCTCGTAGTTAGTTCTCGCCCAGAACTGATCATTCCTGGGATACTAACCATTAGGGAAAGGCTAATTAAGAATTAAATTCGTGCGACTAAATGAAAATTCGATCGTGAATTAATTTTCGATCACAAAATCGCCGAGGTGACATTTTGAGCCACTGTTGGCCGATCCAAGGATAGCAAGGGGTCAGTTCGCCACTGTCGTAGTAGTGGATCGCGGGTGATTCCGTGGGACCACGAAATGAATTGACGAATGATCCTGAACCTATACCAAACGATCGTGCCCCTCGGATCTAGCAATTGATCCTCGCGATTAAATGACAACCGAAGTCATCACGAACCGAATGAATTTGCACGTGACTCGATTTATTGTCAGTCACGGGTCGAATATGCGAATTTCCCCAAAAAGCCGCCCGTTAGTTTGAGAAATGCTCGAGTTACGTTTAATAAAATTTAATTATTTAATTGAGCCCAAACTGGACACCGGAAAATTAGGAAGTCACAACGGGACATTAGGACGACGTTGTGGTTGGAACGTGCAGCTTCGGATTTGCCCGAATCCTTCAGGAAAATTTAATTTCGGTGAGAAATGGGGAAAGTGACCATTTTACCCTTGGGGATTTATGAAGGGCATGTTTTATGAGGGAGGGGCATTTTGGTCATTTTGCCCTAACTTTTTGGTTGGACATTTTTGCCCTTGGAATTTTATGAAATTCCCAAATTGCCCTT